CCCGGCAGCCCCAAACACATTAGTTCACATCCTCCAAAATAAAGGATGTCACAGAAAGAGAGGAAAACAAGCCAATGCCAAAATCTAACAAATGAAATGCAAACTGTTTAAAACAACTCACCTAACCTCCATGCTATGAGAAAAGATATCAAAAGACAAAAGATCAGCTGGATCCCACCAAAAGCAAAATTCACCATTAATCATTTCCAAGATATTATCAGCTGCTTCCATCAGCCCATTATCTTTCACTGTTTTGTTTTAAGGTGAAGAATATTCATGTCAAAAATATTTTGAGAATGAACCTGGGCAAAGTAGGACAAGGTGAGCAGAATTTTTTAATGAAATTGTTGGTAGATGGGTAGGTAGGTAGGTAGGTAGGTAGGTAGGTAGGTAGGTAGGTAGGTAGGTAGGTAGGTAGGTAGATAGATAGATAGATAGATAGATAGATAGATAGATAGATAGATAGATAGATAGATAGATAGATAGATAGATTAAAAATTATGTCCTTTTTTATTCAATTAAGTACTTTCAGTGGCATTTTATTTGCATTTTAGATTTATCCTATATCTTAGATTACAACAGAATCATTTCATTACAAGATGGGCAGCAAACAAATTCAATAAATAAATAAATAAAAATAAAATCAAGATAGTTATGTAATACATTAAAATGCAATAAATGCAATAAAATCCCATCAAAAAATTAAATCATATGATTGCACACAGAATCAGTTTAAAATTGGTGGCATCAACAGTAAATTGAGTTAAATAAATTACTTAGGGAATCTGGTATGATATAGTCAAGTGTCTCAGGCTAAAAAAATACATATTTTATTGTTGATGGGGTATTATTCTGGAAACCTACTTACTCTCCAAAGGAGGATAATTCCACAGAAACATCACAAAAAAGACTGTCTTCCTCCGCATGTTAAACAAACTCAAGTAAATCACTGCATAATAAGCAAAACATCTGCCACAGAATGTTACAATCTAACTAGATAGTAACCTAGTTCACACTCGTTTGTTTAGCTATGGTTCAACAAGCCGCAATTTACCACAGGCACAGAACATATTAAAAATGTAAACCATGGTGATTAAACCACCAAGACTGCCTGTGCACAACGTATATAAAGTTAGACTGAACAAGCCACATTAGTGCTGTGAGTGAATACAGTCTAGATAGCCTAGCCATAAACTGTTTAGGGTCTTATAAACCAATAATAACGTAGGAAAATGGCACTGAGGTAAACGTTTGGCTATAGACCCATCACACATATGGTAAGGAGACCTACTGAGCAATTTAACTGCAGCATTCTGCCCTAATTACAGAGAGTCAGCTAGCAGTAATTTGGAAAGGAGGGAGGTAGGAAGCTCCAATCACAGTCACATTTTTTTAAAAAATCCCAATAAATGTCCAGGGTTGAGTAAATCTTGAGTCTTATTTTGAACCCTGGCGATTCTCAGTAACGTTCTTCCTCATCTCTTCGTCATTTCTAAGTACTTGCACCATTTGGGGCAGGAAGGCTTTGACTCCAACTTGTGAGGATGCAGTTTGTCTTGGTCAGATTAAGTTGTATAGCCCATCTATTAAACTACAGGCAGTCCTCAACTTACAACCGTTCATTCAGTGACACTGAAAAAAGTGACTTATGACCATTTTTCACACTTCTGACTGTTGCAGCATCCCTGGGGTCACGTGATCAAAATTCGGACTCTTGGCAACTGACTCCTATTTATGATGCATCCCAGAGTCCTGTGATCACCTTGTGTGACCTTCTGACAAGCAAAGTTAATGAGGAAGCCAGATTCACTTCACAATCATGTTACTAACTCAGGGGTAGGCAACCTTGGCTCTTTTATGACTCGTGGACTTCAACTCCCAGAATTCCTGAGCCAGCATCGCTGGCTCAGGAATTCTGGGAGTTGAAGTCCACGAGTCATAAAAGAGCCAAGGTTGCCTACCTCTGTACTAACTTAATAACTGCAATTTGCTTAACAACTGTGGCAAGAAAGGTCGTAAAATGGGGCAAAACTCACTTAACAAATGTCTCGCTTTGGCTCAGTTGTGGTCATAAGTCGAGAACTGTGTACTACCTGTACGCAAAAGAGCAGAACAACATTCTGCAATCTGCATCACGCTCCCCTCCTCATCCGGATTTTCCTAATTCCATAGTGGAGGCACTTCACATTATAAAACTCGATCGCAATTGATGTCTTCACTATAATATGCATATTAGCTCAGTGAGGAGGCCTACAAGAAAAATTTCAGTTAAGAATTTAAGCTTGCTAAACTGCTATACACCCTCCATCTCACTAAGGTTCTTGTGCAGGTGTCACTGAGAATAACTGTTTTCAGTTTTTCCTAAATGATATTTCTTTTCAGGTGCCAAAACACAAAAGTCTATTCCTCTGTACTGTACCCCAAATATCCCTCAATCTGACATTGTTACAATTTCTTTCAACTATATCCACTTAAGACAGAATCAGGCGCTCTAATATTGCACTCTAGACCCTCCCCAAATTGGAGGGTGTGGCTCTTGTTCGGAGCTGAGGGCTATCCAGATCCAGTAAGTTATTAAAAAGCACTGGCATGTTTGAAATTATCTGGTTTTTATCCCTGATATTGCAATTTTCTACTAGTTTTTATACTTTTGTGTTATTCTTTTACAAACCTAAACCACATGTGTCACATTGGGCATTTTTCACAAAGTGCTGATTAAATATAATATTTAAGCAATGAAGCTGATGGCCTTCATGTGCAAAAGGAGCACACAAAAACATTTCTGCTATGACACTGTGCCTTTTGCAGTACAAGAGATGCAACTTACCCAATTCTCTGCATGTTTACTGAAGTGAGTACAACAAAGTTCTGGTAAAGACTTTAATTTTCCTCTTAAGGAAGTTTTGGTATTTTGCCATGATCACAAATCCAAATATTCTATACCAGCGGTCCCAACCTTTTTGACATCAAGGTCCGATTTCGTAGAAATAATTTTTCCATGGACGGAGGAGGGGGGGGCAAGGAAGGAGAAGCGCACAACCTAGTTCCTGCGCATGCGCATTTCGCTTACTCACTGCTCACCTTTGCTCACTCACTGCTCACCTCCAGCTGTGCAGTCCAGTTCCTAACAGGGGTTGGGGACCTCTGTTCTAGAGAGTAAACCACCCACTGGGTCACCTTTAAGGCACATGTTTGAAAGCTAGCAACTTTTTAAATGGGGAAAAAAAATCTTTCATTTTACAAAAAGGGTACTAGTGGTCCTTTGTAACTGTCATTTTCGTGACTGTTTCTTCAAGAAGACCAAACTCACTGGAGCATCATTTTGTATTTCAATAGGCAACACGCGGTGCAGGAAGATTTTAACAATGGAAGTGTCCAAAGCTTTCTGAATGTGTAAAAAGCTAGCTAGGTAACTTGTTACAATTTGCAAAGTACTCGGAGATTATCAGAAAAGCAATGTAGAATCCTTAATTTCTTATATAGTATGCCTATCAGTCTAAGCATAGATCAAGATAGACAGAGTATAGATCAAGACAAATACTATTTTTGCTATTTAAAGCCCTTCAAAGAAGCACATTAAAACATACGCCTGGCAAATAAAACATCTTACGCTCAACTATTCCACAGACACTCAAACTAAGTTAAAACTAAGTGGTCTAAGGATCTGGGAAAGCAAGATCCTTGCCATCATTTTTCTAGAATTCCAAAGATATTTCTCAAAATGTGAGAAAGTTGTCTATGTAACATTCAATAAGAACATTTAAAAAATCTCAGTTACTAAATATGAAGTTTAGATTGCCTTTGTCATCAAATGGAAGCAATGAAATTCATGCAATCCAATTAGGTTTAGACCCAGAAACTCCTGCCTATGTTATCTGGTCTTCAAACATGATCTTAGCGACTGCATGTGCTACACAGCATTACACAAAATGAGGTGAGGTGAGGACAGACTGTAATTGGAATGTTACTGTAGACATGTCATATAGTCCCTGATAATTTTCAACTGACAGAAATTTTTCAAGAGTAGCAAATTGTACTTGCTCTCTGCTGCTTCTGTGGCAACAGCAGCAAGCTAAAACAGAGAAGTATGAAGACTAGACATATCCTAGGACAGCTCATCTTCCCTGAATATATTAACATAACATTTCATTTTATACTAGGTTTGCTACTTTGATCACGCATGGAAAAATCTATCATGCCATGCGTTAGCTTAAAAGATTTAAGCCAATGTGCACATGAAACCCTAAATTCTGTAGATGTCATATGCCTCTTTGAAAAAAAAAACACATCAATATGATTTACAGTTGTGGAGCTGATAGGTACTGTTAGAACCTGAACAATCTCAGTTTTCACTTCTTAACAAACTTGCACTTCTAGTCTTCATGCATGCTTACACATCTAGAGAAATCAACAGACCAAAGATACTGGAGAAAAGCTCAGAACCTAGTCTCTTTTCTTCAAAAATAATCTAAAAACAGAGTCCAATTCAAAATGCTGTCAAATCAACACAAGACCTCTCATTAGTTCTTGTACTACAGGTAGTCCTCGACTTACAACAAGTTTTATTTAGTAACCATTCCAAATTACATCAGCACTGAAAAAAGTGACTTATGACCACGTGATCCTCTTTTGCGACCTTCTGACCAGCAAAAGTCAATGGGGAAGCCAGATTCACTTAACAACTGTGTTACTAATTTAACAACTGCAGTGATTCACCTAACGTGGCAAGAAAAGTCACAAAATTGGGTTAAAACTCACTTAGCAAATTTCTCACTTAGCAGCATAAATTCTGGGCTCAACTGCGGTCGTAAGTCGAGGGCTATCCATACTATCTATTTCACAAACAACAACTGCAGGACAAAATGCAGCCCCAAAGACATCCCATCACACAGGCTGTCCGACCGTGCTTTTACGCAGACTTCCCAAACCCTTTTATTTAAGCAAGAGATCCCGATGCAAGTCTAGAGTAAAACAGGAATGTCTCTCCAGTCTTTTCTTACCTGGTGGCAATTGAAAGTTCTGAATATTTGTTGGATTCTGAGAAGGCTGAGGCAGACGAGGTGCTAAAACAGTGGGAGTCAAAGTTGCTCTGATTCCACCGGTGGTTGCAGTTGCAGTCCTGGGCAGGCTCTGTGCCACTGTATTGGCAGCACCCTTAGCCAGACCTGTGGGAGTCCCTGGAGGTGCAGGAGGTACTCCACCAGGATTAGGAGCTACGTTGGGCAGGCCAGCTTGCATAGTTTGCCCAATGATCATGTTACCCCCTGTAGTACTAGGCTGGCCAGCTGCAGCCAGAGTTTGCTGTTGGGTGACTGCTTGCACAATAGTTTTAGGAGACTCTGCTTTGATGACCTGTGTGGTGGGTGCAGCAGCTGATACCCCAGAGCCTGGCTGGCTGTTCACGAGAGAGGTCTGGAGAGACACCCCTGAACCAACCGTGGCAGCTGCAACAGCTGCAGTCGGGAAACCTCCCACGTTGATGGTTGAATTGATCACAGTACTGCTCCCATTTTGGGTGGCGGCAGCCAATGAGGGTCCTGCCGCGTGAATGGGCGGCCTTACCAATGCTACTGTTGGCCCCCCAGCCCCCATATTGGGGGGCTGTTGTGAAGAGATCACTGTAGGTGAAGGTGAAGAGGCAGAGGACACTCCAGCGCCAAGGAAAGAAGTCTGGATGACAGTACTTGAAGCAGATGGCAAGACAGCATTAACGGTGTTGACTTTTCCAATATTTCCAGGTCCATTGTTAACGAGAGGGGCAACAGCAGGGACCACAGTAGGATTTGCTGTTACAGGAGTGGCGGAGAAAGAAGCATGGGAATTCATCACCACGTTACTTCCATTCAAAGTCTGCACTGCAGTGGTCCCAATTTTACCATTCCTGGTAGATAAAGCTGTTGCCATGGTACTGATTACCACTGATTTGCCCTGATTGAGGGTCCCTGGGGTAATAGCAGCTTCAGAGCCACCTTGGACAGTTGTAGTGGTGCTGCTGCTAGTTGTAGTGGTCCCATCCAACGTAGAGCCCTGGGACCTGGCATTATGATTGATAACACTCCCTTGTACTCCACCAGTTCCTGCAAATAAAAAAAAGTTTAATTACAATATAAAAGGTGAGAAAGAAAACAAAAGATTCTAAGGCTCAATAAGTCCAGCACGAACTATACTGTCTGTGTGTCAATCCATCCACAGTACTGAAACAACTACTGCAAAAGGAAAAAAAAAATCTTATAACAGTTAAGAGTTAGCTACTGTTCCCTCTCTACTGATGGTTATAATGCTCTTCCATTAACAACTAAGTAGTCACACAAACAAATACAAATTGCATTGACATGCAGCAAAAAACTAAGTTTTCAAGTTCCCCCCCCCCCCTTTCAATGTTTATAACTTCACATTAAATGACATTTTACTGCAAGTCTGCTCATGCAATTGTATCAGATTGGTGAAAAATTAGGGGGGGGAGAGAGACAGGAAAAAGTAAAAAAAAGGAAAACCCCATGGTCTCTAACCCCTCTGTTTCATCTCCTTATCTTCTGAACAAAAATCCAAAAACCATTGCATTTCTTGACTAATAAAGCAACGTGGAAAAAAGTGAGGCTGAAGTAGTAGAGAAGTGACATAAGTGAAAAGATTGCAAGGTAGTTTAGGGGACGTCATCCTCTCTCTTAAAATCATTAAATCCTGCTGTTCTACTGCCCTGCTTTCAGAGGAAAACAAATACAAGCAGAAAGGGAGGGATTTTTTTTTCCCCTGATGTCCCCAGAAAGCAAATATCCCTACCAAAACCTGCCAGTGTCACTTAAATCAGCCCTGTCTCCGCAGGCTCTGCATTTAGTAAACACAAATAGAAGGACTGTAGTCAGAAACACAGGGTCACAAAAATCAGGACTAAGGGAAGGTTATTTCTCTGAAACCCCACCCCTTTCATTAACCTGGTATCATGACAAGCAACAGCGTCCTTGTAATATTCGAGCAACTGGAAAGGGGGGGGGGATTATATACATAGGAATAGAATTGGAATTGTGCTGGGGTAAATGGATCAGCATTGCCTTTGCTTTCTTTAAAAGGCCGTCTTTGCATGTACAGAAAGGCAGGACCCTGGAGTTAGCATACTCCTTCAGCGTGCACCGTCTTTTTACAAGGGGGAAAATATTTACAGATGGACTGTCATTCTTCCAGTCCCACAGGCAGTAGAGGTTGTGCTGTGACTCTCTGCATAGCCCAGCCTGGCATATTATTTCAAGAAAAGCAAAAGGTTCGGGGGCATAACCCCTACAACCACAGAGGAGGAGCAGTTAAGCGGTGCCGTATTTGCAAAGAGATCTCTATAAAAGGGGTTCCTGATCCTCAGGTCCCCCCATCACTTCCTCTTCCCAAGGGAAGCTGCTGCTGCTGCTGCTGTGATTAATAACATTGCTTCTCTCACCCCCCCCCCCTCCCCAATGCACTTCAGGCAGGGAGGGCAAAGAATCCAAGACAGCCAGGGAATATCGAAATGGATAAGGAGGGCAGGGAGCACCATTTCTGATTCCAGACTCCAGGAACGCGGGAGAAAGGTGGCACAGAAGTCCAAAGGTAAGGTCTCTTCCTTCCTCGTCCTCAGGAGCCCCCCAAAACACTCCTGCTCTCGGGAGACAGAGAGATGACAGAATTAAGAGCAGAGGAGGGGAACCCCAGCAAAGGAAGCGGGTTCTTCGTCCCCTACAGGACCCACACACGCACTCCCTGACCACAACACTCACCCCCCCCACCCCCACCCCCATCTGCTCCTGGCTCTAGGTGCAGCAGAGGCAGGAGGGAGAACCGTCCCGGCCAAAAATAGGGTGTTGGGGAGGGAGGGAGGGGGTTGGCATTTGAGGAAGGCCTCTCTCTCTTTGCCGCCTCCCCTTCCCCAACTCCATGCCACCCCCTGGCACCCTCCAGTTGCTGCCCCCATCAGGGGAGGGGGGGGCAGGGGAGAAAGAAAGGGAGCCAGCCCGGGAGGGGGGAGGCCCCCGTTCCTGAGAGAGAAGGGCAAGAAGAAGAAGAGGAAGAAGAGGAGGAGGCAACCCCCCCGCGCCCCGGCTTGCCTCGCCAGGTTACCTGGCTTGGTGATCTCCGGGCCACTGAGTCCCATCTTGGCGGCGGCGGCGGCGGCGGCGGTGCTGCTGGTGCTGCTGCCGGTGGTGCGGCTGCCGGGGTTCTCTGTTTGGACATTAGCATTGCCTCCTACTCCTCCTCCTCCTCCTCCTCCTCCTGGGCTAGGGCTAGGGCTGTTGCTGCTGCTGCTGCCGCTGCTCACAACATGGTTCCCCAGCAGCCCCCCGGCGACCCTGAGGGGCTCCTGCGCCTTGTGGTGCGGGTGGTGATGGCCCGAGGCCGCCAGCTGAGACTCCAGGGAGCCTACCAGGTCGCTCACCACCTTCTCATCCACCTCAGCGTTTAGGAAAACCTCATCCAGCAGATCCGAGCCCGCCGCCATCTTTTTTCGGAGGGTTCCTGGCGAGCGGCTCCCTCCCGCCCGCCGCCCCCCCCTTTCACTCCTCCCTCTGCCCTCCTCCTCCTCCGCCCTCCTCCTGCTCTCCCCCCCACCTCACTCACTCATTTTACACATACGCTGGTCTCCCCTCCCGCCTCGGCCTCCGCCACGGAGCATGCGCGACGAAAACTCCGCGCGAGCGGGCTGGGGAGGGGGAGCGTCGAGGCGTCACCTCAGCGGCCCGAGAGGGATTCCGTCGGTTCCTGATTGGCCGGCGACCGGCTATAAATACTGAGGCAAATGGCTGCGAGCGCTCAGACAGGGAACGGGCGCCAAGGGCCCGGCTGCGGCCTAGCGAGAGGGGCTGGCCGCCGAAAGTCGGGCTGGCCGCGCGCGCCCGGTGCTGGCCGAGGAGACGATGAGGGGAAGTGGAGGCGGTGCTACGGGTTGCGGCCGCCGACGCCTCGGGGCTGGCCGCGACGGTCGCTGTCGTCCTTTGTCTGGCGAAGCCCAAAATGGCTGCATGCTCCGCGGCAGCGGCTGAGGCGCCTCTTGCCAGCGCGCCTGGGGCTCCCTGGCCGGCTGGAGCCTGAAGGATGCCCCGCACGTGTGCCAGCTTATGAAAACAACCCGGCCTCTCTGGACGGGGAGGCTGGCGTGGGGCCTGCCTGGTGCACGGACAAGGCCGGCCGCGTCCCGCCGTGTCGAGTTAGCGGGCGTTCCCCGCCGCCCGTTCGTGTCCAGCCGAGCCTCGCCGAAAAAGACCCGTGTCTTCCTCGCTGACCGACCTCGGGACGTGGGTCAGGCTGTTGCCGCGCCCTTGAGTCCGGCCTGAGCGCGCCTCCGCATTGGCGGACAGCTAAGCCAGGCTTTCCTCCGCCTCGCCTCCACACTTGTGCCAAAGTTTGGCTGGCCGGTTTTGCTGGACAATGGCCCGCGCACTCCGAATCCCCCTTGCTCCCCTACCCCTTGACACTATGGCTCTGCCTTGTCACCTCCAAAACAGTCCCTTTTCTGTTCCCCATAAAGGAAAAGCTGCTGCCGTTTCGACGGAGCTGCGGGTGTCAAAACAGCGTCCTCTCCCGCCTTTCTTTTTCAAGCGCTCGGCTACTTCCTTCTTTTCCGTCAAGCATCACTTACGCGTCCAACCGCCTTTTTTATTTATGGCATCTACATACTTGCACACTTTAGGGACTAGTTGCGAGCAGCTGAAAATGCGTATCGCAGCCATGTCTTCCTACCTTCTCTGTCACAGGCAGTCAAAAATAGATTCCGTGGTGCAAAGATAAGATACAGCTGTTTATAGGTTTTATTTTAGGGAGAAGCCAGAGCAGACGTCCTGAGAAGTATCAGCCAAAAGGAAGGGAGGGCCCATCTCTTTCTGCCTATAATTTTTTTTTCCCCCTCTGAAATTGTTTACTTTGACTTCCTCAGCTTCTTGCATGTAGCCTTTTTCTGCTAGTGCCAACCTGATTTTTTTAGGGATCCCTTTTCTTGAATAAAACCATCTGCAAAAACATGCTTTAAAAAAAAAAAGATTAGGTTATGTTCTAAAATTGTTTATTCTGGTCCTTGCTGTCTCCTCCCTTCTCCAGACAAGAACGCAAAATCAATACTTCACCATGTCAGATCAATTGAATAATAGATCATTCAGCAGACCCTTTGTATTCCATCCCCCTTTTCTGTTTTATAAGAATGAAATTGAAAAACATTTTGGATTTTATAATCACTATCACCCTTGCAGAGATACCTTATGTTTCTTTTGCCCTTTATTATTACTGTCTTTTAACCCGCCTCATCCTGAGGACTCATATTGGGTGGCAATACTTTATAATTTATGCTTCTAGTGAGGCTTTTAAATTGGTCAAATTAGAAGGGAAGTAAACATCTGTTTAAATTGATGTTTTACTTTAAAAATCAGTGCAAAGCGGATTTTTTTTTAATTTATGGAATATTAAACTCTTGAAGAACTCAAATGAGTCCCATTGCTAAGACAAAAGGATGGAGTTTCCTTGTTTTATTCTTAAAAAGTATTAATAAGATCAAGATTTGCTGTCCGTGACACTGCACAGCGTTGTAAAGGTCTAGTTGGCAACTTGCAGGAAATACATTAACTGTTGTTTTTTTAATTAAAATGTGGCTAAGAATAATGAGCACATTGTATACAAGGGAGCTGCTCATTGTACTGTTGTGTTGCTTTTGTCAATTTTGTAGATAATGGGAGCTAGCAATGGTATATTGTACATTTCAGGTAGTGTTTCTTACCTTGGGATTTTAAAATGTATGGACTCCCAGAATTCTCCAGCCAGAGAGCAGGAATAGCAACATAGAATGTGTCCCAGGTACCATGAAATGACATTGTTGAATACATGGGATGCAAAGTACGCCAAACTATCGGAACTAATGGGTCAGCAGAAACTGCCCTGGAAGAAGACAGTGCTGTAAATGTCCTGTGCTTTACAAATATTTACCTGCAACTAGAGGCCTACTAGTAACCTCCAACTTAAGTAGCGGAGGAGTTAATGGGGGTACCAAGGCTCATCCTTGATTTATGACCACAATTGAGCTCAAAATTTCTGTTGCTCGGTGAGACATTTGTTAAGTGAGTTTTGCCCCGTTTTATGACCTTTCTTGCCACAGTTGTTAAGTTAGTAACATGGCTATTAAGCGAATCTGGCTTCCCCATTGACTTTGCTTGTCAGAAGGTCACAAAAGTTGATTGCATGACCCTTGGACACTGCAATTGTTATAAATATGAGTCAGTTGCCAAGTGTCTGAATTTTGATCATGTGACCATGGGGATGGTCATAAGTGTGAAAAACTCTCGTAAATCACTTTTTTCAGTGCTGTTGTAACTTCATATTGGTCACTAAACAAACGAAGTCAAGCACTACCTGTAACGCACATGTTGCTGCATTCTGGACTTGCTCTAGTTTTTGAGTTTTCTTCAAGGGCAGCCTCATGTAGAGCACATTATAGTAATTATACACGAGCGACTAAGGTATGAGTGGCCATGAGAAGCGCCTCCTGATCCAGGAAATGATAATATTAACCTACAAGATGAAGCTGTGGAAAGGCTTTTCTAGCCACAGTTGCAATTTGTTCCTCAAGGAGAAGCTGCAAGTCCAGGAGAAGCCTCAAACTGAATCCAGGTTGACTCTTCCTGAATTTCTAAGGTGCGTCAATATAATTTTTGGAACATCATGAAGTGGGGGAGAGTGCCATTGACATCTTTCAAGATTTGACTTTATATTTTAGTCAACACCAAGATTTGCAGGTGGTCTCCCATACAAATAATACCAAGGCTACTTTAGCTTAGCTTTCTAGAAGAGCCAAGATGGACTAGAAGATGCTTGGACCTCCTGAAGCCCCAATGAATCATAGAGAACAATATTAACCCTTCCCTGCAATGGATAAGTCTTTACATAAAATAAAAAAGTTACCAAATCTGCTTTAAGAAAGATTTACCAGGTCTTCTGTTTTGACCACCAACATACAAACTAATGCCCACACTATATATAATCTACTTGGGATTTCAACGCTGAAAAAAAAATATGCAGGTAGTCCTCAATACAGTAATTGATCACCTTGCAATCTCTTCTACATTTGCCCTCATTTTTCCACTTGGATAATTAGACATTTTGCTTAGTTACTGCTAGTGTCTGCCATTAGTTGAGATTGTGCTTCAGAACCATTAAGTTAAACAATTAAAAGAGCTATTGTAGAAATGCTGTGGTATTCAATAAGTAGGCAGTACTGTATGCAAATTACCAAAGTCCAGGTTGGCTAGGAACAAGTTACAAGTTGTCAGTCATTCTTTCCTACATCAACTTCCTTATTTATGCTTTCATTTACCTTTGTCCTATCTGCTTTTGGTACAGACTTGCCACTAAGCTTCCAAGCTAAAGAAATTTGCCTTTTCTGTCACCTGCTCTGTGTGTGTGTGTGTGTGTGTGTGTGTGTGTGTGTGTGTGTGTGTGAACTAATTATCAGTAACCTTTTTAATCAGTCTTCAGAACAGGAAAAAAAAAACATTTACATGATACAAAATACTTCTGAAGTAGGCTTAACTGTAGCTTACATGGCAGCAATGATGTGATAACAAGCATGCTTACAATTGCTGCTCAAAGTCCAATCCGCTGTTGAGGAAAGTCAGTTCAGATGCAAGCATGAGGCAAACCGTGGCCCGTATGTGATCCTACTCTCCATTTCCTTTATCAGGGAGAAGGAATAGCATGGAGTCTGAAAGAACATTTGGGATATTAAGAACGTTTAGTGGTATTCTGACCATATGGTTGCTAAAGGAGAACTTGACTATCACAATATAGTATCATTACTATGGTAGTCATTTTTTCCCTTCATGTCTGATTCTCCGACAAAATTTTCAAACAAGTCCCTGTAGTTTTCTTGGCAAGGCTTTGCAGCAGTGGTTTGCCATTGCCTGTTTCCTGGGGTTGAGGGGGAGTGACTGGCCCAAAGTGAACTGGCTTCAAAGCAGAACTTAAACTCATAGTTTCCTGGTTTCTTGCCTGAAGCCTTAACCCTGACACCAAACTGGCTCTGTATGATAGTCACAGCTAGTCATAAAACATCTATTTCCTATAAGGCAAACAGGTCAGGTTGCTTCCTGTTGCTTGTTTTCTGTGACCACAACATCTGTATCTCGTCCTTTCTCTGGGTAAGCATGCACATTGCCAATCAACACTGGGTTGTAGCTGTGCACCTTTTTTATTTTCTTGGTGTGCCTCTGGTGTCTGGATTTGGAAGCTTTCAAGAAAATAAATCAGTTATGGATTAGACCCTCTGCACCACGTCAGCTTCTATTTAATAATAATAATAATGATGACAACAACAACAACGATATATGTAATACCATCAAACATCCACATCTGCCTATCCCAGGTCCTGGGTAAGGACTCGATAGGTAGACAAAATGCCAAATCCAGTCTGAACATCTGGCTGACTGTGCGATGATCAATAATAATAATAATGATAATAAAGTTGGAAGGGACCTTGGAGGTCATCTGATCCAACCCCTGCCC